AGAAGTTGCCCAAGGAAATTCTGGATGCATCATCCCTGGAAGGGTTCAAGATCAGGTTGAATGGGGCTTTGCACAACCTAGTCTAGTGCAAGGTGTCCCAGCCCATGGCAGTGGGATTGGAAGTAGATAATCTTTAAGGGCCCTTCCAAATCAAACTGTTCTATGATTCTCTGATTTCTGGGCTGAAAAGAGGGACTAGGTACCCAGCAGCTATACTGCTAGCAGCCTTCAGGACATGGTGCAGCAGCAGACCAATGGATTTGGCTCAGAATGTGAGAGCAAAGACATTTGTGGGATTTCTTGGGACAAACCAAACAAAAGCATCCATAAAAACCAGGATGTATGGCAGGAGGGCGAAGTACTGTTTCAGCATGGCACGGCAAACATGGCACTCAGCCCCAGCAGGAACCTACGCCGTCTGGCTTTGTGAATGCAAAAGAAAGCAAAGCCCAACCTACTGAGAAGAGCAGCATTCATACCAATTAAATTCTGACACTCACTAACCCCATATTAGCTTATATAAATATTAATACTTCTTCAGCATGAAAATATCCAGTCTCTTTCTAAATCTAGGGTTAGATGTGACAGTTCAGAGACAACTTCCAGAGGTAGAGTATCGCTGCTCTGAAAAGATGTACTGACCTACATATACTATTTCTAATCCCACTAGTGCATCCCTCTTTATATACTGCAGCAAATACTATTTTAGGGGTGCCAGGGGTCTACCTCTATTTAAATGGTGCCAGCAAGAGCCTAAGCAAGGTGTAATTGTATTTTTCAGACACACTAGCATAATTTTAGAGTAAATTAATTAATAACAATGTGCACAAGAGTGAAATTTGGTCTGCATGTTAAAGTATCTCTTAAGTAATGTAAGTAAGACTGAAAAGAAGCTTACTGGGTTTGTTTGAAATACGTTAACACTAAACAAAATAATGCAATAGTTTGAATTAAAATTCATTGTTTCTTCAGAGCACAGAAACATAATAAATCAATGCAGTAAATTACCCTTGTGCTGTGAAATTAACACCCATATACATGAAATAAAAGTAAGAATTTGCAGCTCTAATCAATCAATTTTTCTTATTAACTCCATCTTCTGTTTTATTTACCTTCTTCTACATGCCTCACCCCAAAATAAGTCACTTGGCTTGGGGTAACTGTGGCACTCCTGGGAGCTGGCCAGCCCAGATGCTCTGCCAGCAGCTCTGCCTTCCTCATCCTCAGCCCCATTTCACACCACCCACTAAGGAACACAGCTCTGTGACCCTGTGCTCTGCCAAAACAAGCCTGAGCCCTCTCAAACACAAAAGTCAAGCTAAGACTTGGCACAACCAGCAGATGCACCAAGGTTTAGTCTGACTCACAGCTGCTGAAGATGCT